TAGACCTAGCCTAGATCATTGGCTAGCGATGCCCATGCTTATTAATTAAATATCACTTTGACAAAGTTTTCAAACTGCGTGTTTACGTAGTTTATGCATGTATAACTTTATGTTACAATTCCTCGGATGTAAGGCTGGTTAGCTATCCATTCGAAAATCCATTAAATCCATTGCGATCGTATCCGCGTAATAAACACAGAAATAATCACGATTGAAGTGACAATGAATCGCTTTTCATTTATTCGCAGCTCGTACGTCGTCAATTTAATTTTCGCGTCGACTCGAGTAATTTCGTTTCGGCACCGAATAAAGCTAGGCCCGGACTCGCGGTTCGTTGAACCGACCTGATCGATACTCGGAAGGTCTACGTAACGTTCAGACACGACTGAATAATGAAAATTTTCATCGACCTATCGGATAAATGAATCGATTCCTATTCGCATATAATCGAATGATAATATCGATATATGCGACACGAGGGATTAAATGACTGCGTGAATGATAGGTGTTTATACATATCTTATCACATACATGATCTTGAAATAGATGAATGTATATCCAGGATTCATGTATGCATGTGTGCATAGATGTAAAAATGTAGAAGAAGCGAGAGAGGTGAGTCAGGTCCGTGGTCTCTGCCTACCCCTGTGGGATACGGGCGTTATGTTGTTGTTGATTTTTTCTATGGCTTTTAAATTCTTTATTTAATAATGTAATTTCTTTGCCATGTTAGTAATATAATGTCATAATTGGACTATGACACTATACACGGTACATTAAGTGTATATCGAAGTGTCTTTGAACTTGAGTGTCTCTTGATTCATCCATACAATTGTAAACATTACAGATATTAATGTCGGAAATTATGTCGTAGTCTAATTGGACCTTAACATTAGAAATGGATTAGGTACTAGCTATCGCCCGCGAGTCTGTCGCAGCGGAATTAAAAGAAACTTAATAAGTAGCCTATGTGTTCTTCCAGATGTTCTACATCTGTGTTAAATTCCATTAAGATCCTTTGAAACGTTCCAGAGATATCTTGAAAAATACATAAACATTCGCTTTTATAAGGACGTAAAGGAAAAAGGAACGTTCCAAAGGAGCCACCTACTAATAGCCACCTACTAATAGGAGCCATTTACTTTCCAAACTTGGTGTATGCTTTAAAACAATTTAAATTTTCCCTGTAAAAGCTTTTAAAGTATGTTACTGTTGAGAAATGCATCTCAAGAACACTTACAGTGCCAAGTTTCCTAAACGTATTCTTCATGCAAGTAAACTACTTCTGTAATTTAAAATAACTATAAATATGAATGAAAAGAATAATGGCTTCTCTACTTTAAGACACGCTTCCACTAAAGAAATACGAAACGTAATCTACACTAGCATTGTACATTATTTCGTATGATTTATACTCAACTAGCGGTCGCTCGCGACTCCGTCCGCGCGGTGTTAATGAAAACATAATTTAAAAAACAAACCTTAATAAGCCTATGTGTTCCTCCACACTATCTTCTGTATGTATGCCAAATTACATCGAGATCCGTTCAGCCGTTCTTGAGGTACCTTCAAACA